GTCCCCTTTTTCCTCCATTGACCTCTTTTAGCCAGCCCCCTCCCCCACCCCAGGCCTTCACCACCCTATTGTCTGTGTCCATGGGTTATGCATCTACTAGTATACATACAAGTTCTTTAGTTGATTTCTTCCCACCCTCCCACTCTCCCCTGCCTTCCCTCTGAGGTTCGACAGTCTGTTCCATGCTTCTATGTCCCTGGATCTATTTTGTTCATCAGATTATTTTGTTCATTAGATTCCCCATATGAGTGAGATCATTTGATACTTATTTTTCTCTGACTGGCTTACAAAATAACTTTAAGCTTTAGTTCCTATAGTTGATAAAAGTGGTAGCCATTGGAAAAAGAAGGAAATTATACAGTTAGCAAATAGGTTGTTTTCAAAAGAACTTAAACAAAGTATTATTTATATTACTGATTTTTCCTCTTTAGTATTGTTTTGTGTGCATGTCACTTCTGAAAAAGAATGTAAACTTTGATAATTTAGCAGAATATTAAAGTGTCACCACATAATGTAGATTATGAATACATTCTATCCTGTTTTCTAGAATGGTTAACTAACAACTGAGAGAGAAAAAAAACCTCTTCACACTTATTCTCTCCTGCTATAAATAAATAAAAATTATAATACTGGAGATTTTAGCTAATTAGACTCCACAACTTTAAACAGTGTTCCCTTATTAATGCTTAAATATATATATGTATATGTACATGTACATGTGTGTGTATATGTGTATATATGTGTGTATATATATATACACACACTAACAAGAACTGCAAAAAGTTCTGTATTGCATATACATTTTATAGGGAAGAGTAATTCATTTTAAACCCATATTACTATTGTAACTTACTAGTAGAAAGATTAGTCATAAATTAGTCATCAATTAGAAATTGACATCTTGTACAACTTCAAAGTCTTGTTTTGGTTCCGCCACTAACCCTCTTTGTGACTCTGGGTGAATTCCTTCATGTTTTTGGGATCTAGTTTTCTGATAGTTATGGTTGAATTTTATCTCCCTCCTCCCCTCAAAAATAAAAAGGTATGTTGATATCCTAACTCTTAGTACCTCAGAATGTGGCTTTATTTAGAAACTAGAGGCCTGGTGCATGAAATTTATGCAGGAGCATGGGGAGGAGTCCCTCAGCCCAGCCTGTGCCCTCTCACAATCCGGGACCCCTTGGGGGATGTCTAAACCGGCAGTCAGACATCCCTCTCACAATCCGGGACCCCTTGCTCCTTACACCCACCTGCTCACTCCTTACTGCTTGGCTCACCATGCGCTTGCCAACCGTGAGCCCGGCTTCTGGCTGAGCAGCTCTCCAGCTATGGGAGCACACTGACCACCAGAGGGCAGCTCCTGCATTGAGCATCTGCCCCCTGGTGGTCAGTGCACATCATAGCGACTGGTTGTTCTGATCGTTCCACCATTACGGTCACTGGGCTTTTACTATCTAGATTGTTTTCTTACCACCTAATGAAAGGGAAGGTGGAAAAAACCCAACTATTGATAGTATTCGTATTTATGTTTCTTGTTCAAGTGTATTGACAGAGGCAGAAAAGAGAAGGGTAGAGATGCCAGGGACATGAGGATGGAGGAATACAAACCTATCTGGATCTGGTCCTTCTGTGATCTAGTGTTTGTGTTTAAGTTAAACCTTTTGCATCATCATCTGACAGGCCATAGACTGAATTTCTAACCTGAAGCATTCTTTCATCAAGCATAGAGCAGCAAAGTTCCTTAGAGAAAAGTATACACTTCATCTATATAAAGGTTAAGTGAATGAAATTATTAAAATGGTAGAACAGGATTTGAAGGCTTAGCCTCCAAGGATGCCATCATGCCTGGCACACAGAAAGCATATGATACGCCCAATATAAATGTCTGCAGAGTACAAATCTAGCAATCTGCTCTGCGTTACTTTCTAATAAATGTCAATGAGGAGAGTGTTTATAACTTGAAATATGGGCAGGGGAGGGGGAACCCAGTAGCTTTCCTCATGGAAATACATTCTCCTTGTCGATTCCAGGAAAATGTCAGATCAGCACAACTGCTCCATGACTGCTGATCTTCACTTCTGCATCGATTAGGCTGCATGTGCTTTGTTTTTTGGAATAAGGCACTGCATTTCTGGTGGGTTGACTTCCAATGGCTCAATAAATAGAGGCCCCACAGGTTTCTACGAACGCAATATTCACAGTTATTTTGCAGTTGTGCAAATTAAAACAGAGCAAACAATTTGATTCAAAACAATTTAGATGTCAGCAATAAGATTCAAGTCCAGCTTCAATGTCTTCTAGTTACCTTCTCTGAGATGGCTGGATTATGGAGCTGCATTTTAGTTTCATCGTTTCAATGATGGCTATACAGAATCAGTTCTCACTTCCAAAGCTCTTATAGAACTCTCGCTATCTCTCATTGGAAATCAGCTTTTGCCCATTTAATTTACCTCAAAAGGTAAGGATTTTACTAGACTTAGAGGTGAAAAGGCTAAATAAAGACAGAACCCACCCATGAGGATTTGAAATTCTAACAACAGAGGAAAAAAACTCTGAAAACAGATAATTTCAATTAAATGAAGCTAAAGGATAAGATAAGGGTATTGAATGCAATGGGAAGCTGGAAGAGGGTACTGAGTCTAACCTGGGAATCCAAAAAGGGATTCCAGGAGGGAATGATTTCTAAAATAAGTCCTGACAGGTAATGGGGCTTTATCCAATTGAAGAAAGGAGGAAAGGGGATTCTGGCTTGGAGAAACTTCATAAGCAAAACCAAGAGGCAGGAGAGATCACAGAATATGCCAGGGAGCTTGATATACGGAGAGAAAGCATAACTACTAACCTGAAACCCTCAATTCATGATCTTCCAAAATGGAAAAAATTAAATGTCTGGACAATATTGCTAATAGCTTTAAATTCACAGTATAAAATGTAATGGGGACACCTTTTGTTACAATATGATGCCTACATCAGGATGGAGAATTTGGTTCTAGAACTATCTTTTATAAATATGGATTTAATTTTAGAAAATCACAATACCCCCTTGGTCCTGTGGTTGGTGACATGGCTCATGCCTGTTTCCTGGTCAGTGCAATGATTGGGTGAAACTTGCTGTGACTCCAGGTAAAACAAATAGAAACCCAATGGCCTCTCAAGTA